TTCACAAGTTACCTTACAAGATCCTAAGCCTGTGTCTGTTTCAGAGACCCACTGAGAGGGTTATGATGGGGAACACTGAAGCATCAGCCTGCAGTCCGTAGATGGGGGAAACCTTAGCTAAATCGCAGCCCTCAGCCAAACGAAAAACACCAGAGCAAGTTTTTCTCTTTGTCGCTGGCTGGAACTTCAAAGCACAAAGAGCCCACACACAAAAAAGAAAAACAACCCTCAAAAAGGGCCCAGCCTCAGAGCCCACCCCAAAAGTTTAGTAGGCCTCTTGTATTAAAAACCCTCCACCCCATATATCATGTGTCATCCAGGGTTTCAGTCCCATTCAGTTGTTCCTCTGATTTTTCATCTCTGAAGAATATCTTCTTCGGGGTTGTCCTTGGCTTTAGCCCAAAGGAAAGACATTTTCTTTCTCATTCTTTTCTGCAGCCACCTATCCTATTTCTTCAAATTAACAGAAATGGGGAAAATGTTATTTAAATTGCCTTGTAACTTCTTTTACCATGAACTGTTATGACCAAAAAAGTTCAATGTTCAGGTTTAGTAAGTCATGGTTAGCAAAGAACATTCATAGCATCTGAAATCAACAAGATCTTTACAAATCTCTCCTCCTATTTCCCTCGGACTTCAGCTAGAGGGATAGGTAATATATTCCCAGTGTGGCAACTGAACATCCCCATTTAGATTTGTGGTCCCCATTTAGATTTGATAGGCTTATGCCTTTTTCCTGATGTTCTGTTTACCGATTTGCATGATACATTACATGATCACTCTTTCTTTAGGAAGGGGTTTTGAAAATATTTGCCATTATTCTAGCAATTTATATCAAATTTTATGGTGCTGTCACTATAAAGGGAATGTGGGAAATGAAGACCCAAACACTTGAAGTGACTTAAAATTTTCATAAGGTGAATCCATTAATCACATATACATTTGAGTTCATGCTATTTTTCTAAAACTGTAGTTGAACTAATGCAATTATGAAAATGTTGTTTCTTAGAAATTAAAAGGCTTTGAGTTCAGTAGGGTACATAAAATAGGTGTAAGCACTCTCGTATTTGGGCTCCAACTCTGGGTTACATATTTAGACTGATGCTAGTTGAGGAGCGCATTAAAAAAACCCAATCATACGATTGTGTCATTCATAGTTATATGTTCTGTGTCCCAGGGACTAAATATCAACAGTAGATTCCTTTGAGGATCAGATGGGTATGAGTGACAAGGTGACAGATCTTTTCTTAACAGCTTGAGATGGTGGCAGAATTGAGTTAGCAGTTTTTATAAAAAGTAGGCCAGCAGGGAAGTTAGTCACAGCAGTACTGCTTAATTTGTTTTGAATCAACTCTGTGGCTCCAGGCAGCCAGATTTCACTCTCCATATGTCAGTGTCCTGATCTGCAAAATGGGCATAAATGTGTTTTCTGTAGGACCTCTCAGGAAATTCTCATGAAGATAAAACAGGCCTTTTTTTGAGTGCTTTGAATGTAGCACGTACCATACATGTTGCTCAAGCTGTACTTAAAACAACATGCTCTGATTTTGTAGCAGCCACATTGGAAGATGTCTGGAGCTCTCAGCCTCTGTGGGGCGTGCTCAGAGTAAACTGAAATTTTCGGTCAGTGAATCTTGAGGTCTAAATGACTGTTTTCCATATTTCATTCATCTATTTAAAGTTTATTTTTATGACTTGATTCAGAACTTAATAGAAACAAATGTGCATTTATTACAATTCAAAATTGAACTACCTGGGTGGCACTGGGTGGGAGAAACAGAGATTGAAATGAGGGAGAGGAAAACTGAACATTTCTATGGTAATAAAAATAGTTTTTACAAAACTGAAAGCAGTGAAAATTGAACCAATAAAAATGGTATGATAGAACTGGCTGAATTTCTGCATTTGGAAGCAAACCAGAACTTGGTGACTGTGCTCAGGTCTCTCCCTTCTTTTCAAGCCGCTGGATGCCTTTGCTTCATCGCTGTGTTGTTGATGTTTGCATTTTAATGATAACAGTGACACTCACCTGTCCCTATTTAAGCCATCATTAAAACTCTGGGTTGAAAATCTGCTTGATTAGATGAAAAGTCTAAAAAACGCAGTACAATAGCAGCACTGTCCCCAAGCCATATTGGGCAAGAGATGTGAGGTCATTTTCCAGCAGGAGTGACAAATTTAACTTGAGTGATCTCCCCTTTTACCTCCCATTTCTTGTGGGTAAGTTCTGGGCCAGTGACCGTAGTCAATGACTACAGATGAATGGATTTCTAGAAAGAGGCACATGTTCCTGTTTGGCTGTCAATATGCAGTGGTGTGCCTGAGAGATTGCAGGTTTACCCCTATGGCCCAGCCTGATGATTCATTCCAACTGTTTTCATTCCTGAGGTGTCTGGATTCGGGTGAGAAGTGGCGTGATCGTATACTTATGCTGGGTGATGAGTACACAACCTGGGCATTAGGGTCCCTGTGTCCTCAAGTGGAGGTCTGGCCCAGGTAACATAAACCAGTTGTCATTGCGTGGGATCAGGGTAGAGCTAGGTGCTTGGATGACAATCTTGGTCTGCGCTTTTCCCTTTAATATATATTCCCGAACTAATTGTCTCACTAAATTCACTAAGTGCATTTTCTGGCTGCAACACTTCTATTTGGGAAAGATGCCAGAATTGTCAGCCGGTAAAGACTTCAACCCTTTCTTGGCCAATTTGCCAAAAAAAAACATCAGAGGGAGTTATTGATCTTTTCCCTTGTACTCTTTCAGCTAATTTTTTTTTCCATTTCCTTTCTTTTCTTCTTCTTAAGCTGACATCCAATAAAAGCTGTTCTTTCAGGTGCCAGCAACATGTCAGCACCAACACCATTCACAATATGAGTTGTGGTCCCCCCATTTCTCTACAAAGGCCCCTTTCTTGGTTGTTCTATTGACAACACAGGTATTTGTCAAGGTTGCTTTCCTCTTGCATTGATTCTTGGGTGACTTTGAACCTGGACTGGTTCATGGGACTAAATTCCACTTGGATGCTGTGTTTGAATTCTACTGCAAGTAGAATTGCTTAAAACATATTAAACAGTATTCACACTTAACAGAGCAATCTTATTTTACACTTAATTTATAGAGGAAAGCCCAGCAGATTAGTCAGGGACATCTAAATAGTGAATTAGTTTCTCAACAGGAGGAAATTTTGGATTTGGCCTTCAGAAATATCTGAACTATTCTTTCAGAAATCTCTGACACTGAATAGTGCTGCACTTTCCCTGGTGAGAGCTGCTCACTTACCACCTTTTCACAGCTGGAGGCCCAGGCTCATACTGGTCTGTGATGTACGATGAAAGAAGGAGGTCTAGGGAAATGCAGGCATAATTACCACAGAGATGGGCAAAGTACTTATGGTGACAATAAATATTTGAGGTATCTGGGAAGGTTTTTTTTTTGAGATGGATTCTCACCCTGTTGCCCAGGCTGGAGTGCAGTGGTGTGATCTTGGCTCTCTTGAACCTCTGCCTCCCAGGTTCAAGTGATTCTCCTGCCTCAGCCTTCCAAGTAGCTGAAATTACAGGAGTGTATCACTACACCCCGCTAATTTTTTGTATTTATAGTAGAGACAGGGTTTCACCAGGTTCTTCAGGCTGGTCCTGAACTCTTGACCTCAAATTATTCGCCTGCCTCAGCCTCCCAAAGTGCTGGGATTATAGGCATGAGCCACCGCCTCTGGCCTCTGGGAAGCTTTTTTTTTTTTTTTTTGAGATGGAGTTTCGCTCTTGTTGCCCAGGCTGGAGTTCAATGGTGCGATCTTGGCTCACTGCAATCTCCACCACCTGTGGGAAGCTTTTAAGAACAAGATAGTGATGACTATGAACAGATGAATATGTAAACTGATGGCTGGGACAGGCATTTGACAAATTTGCAACCAATTTGCCTGCATTATCCTGAAAATAGCTCACCCTTTCGCTTGAGTTGATGCTGTGCAGAACACTCTGCTGATGCTTGAAGGTATTTCCTGTGTAGAGTCCCCCAGTGAGTACAAAAATATGGGCCAAATGTAGCCCAGACATCTGAGTAACTCACTCAATTGTGGATCCACATGAGAAGGAGTAAAACCAATGTCACATTTCCTACATTGACAGCAAGGATGATGCTTATCTCAGCACCTGGCTTGTCAAGCAGCCGCACTCATACCTCTGGTCCTCTTTGATCCTGCCTGACATTGCTTCATAGAATTTCAATTCCAGAGGAACTCAAATCAGCAATCTTTTCTTTATATTCGATTTCTTCCCCCCTCCTGCTCACTCACCTTTTCTCATGGTCCTAGGAGCTGGGCCTCTGAGGTTATGTAACTTAATATGAGTAGAAATCAATTGGAGTTAGGGAGAGAGAATTGTTGATGTAGTGGAATATAAGTAATTTACAAATTGATATATGCATTCTAAATATATGCCTGTGAAATTTCTGTAATTCTAAAATGGGAATAGAACCAAAATGTTTAGTCAGACATGATAATTACAGCTAACATTTATTGAAGGCTTATAATGGGCCAGCTACTGTTCGAATTGCTTTACATTTATTAGCTTATGTTCTAGCAATAGCCCTATGAGACAATTCTTATCACCATTTTACAAAGCAAGAAATAAGCACAGAGAGGTTGTGACTTGTTTAAAGTCACCAGTGGTGATGGAGTCAATATCGGGACCCATGTCTTGTGACAAACCCCCCAATCACAATGCCATGCTGCCAGTACAATTCCAAAACGATATTAACTCTTGCCCCATAACTTTGAAAGAGTTTTGCAAAACCTGGTCTTATAATATGTAAAGAACAGTGTCGAATTTTTTGCCTCATAAGTATTAATAATCAGAAAGTAATATTTTAGAATGTAGCATTCCTGGATATTAATTACCTTGCTTATGTATATTAGTCTCCTAGGCTGCTGTGGTAAAGGACCACAGACTGGGTGTCTTAATACAACAGCAATTTCTTCTCTCCCAGTTTTGGAGGCCAGAAGTCTAAAGTGGAGGTACTAGCAGGGACGTGCTCTCTCAGACAGAAGGTTCCAGGGAAGATCCCTCCTGGTCTCTTCCATTCTCTGCTGGCTGCTGACTCTCCTTGGCCTTCCTTGCCTTGTGAACAGAGCTCCCCGTGGCATGCCTTCATTACATGGAATTCTCCCTGGATGTGTATCTGTGTCTAGATTTTTCTCTTCTCAAAAGGACACCAGTGGCCAGACATGATGGCTCACCCCTATAATCCAAGCACTTTGGGATGCAAAGGTGGGTGGATCACCTGAGGTCACGAGTTTGAGACCAGCCTGACCAATATGGCAAAACCCCATCTCGACTAAAAATAAAAAAATTACAAATACAAAATTAGCCAAGGATGGTGGCATGCGCCTGTAATCCCAGCTACTTGGGAGGCTGAGGCAGGAGAATCTCTTGAACCCGGGAGGTAGAAGTTGCCGCGAGCCGAGATCATGCCATTGCACTCTAGCCTGGGGAACAAGAGTGAAACTCTGTCTCAAAAAACAGTTAAAAAATAATAAGTAAAATAAAAAATAAAATTTAAAATTTAAAAAAAAGGATACCAGTCACTGGATTAGGCGCCCCCCACCCCCCAATCCTGGTAAGACTTCATCTTAACTTGATGACATCTGCAGAAACCCTGTTTCCAAATAAGGTCACCCAAGATCTTGGAGTTTAAGACTTAAACATGTCTTTTTGGGGCACATAATTGACAACAATATACATATCTGCTTAGGCTGTATTATCACCTATGTTTTAATTTTGATAATAAAACAAGAATAATGTTTCCCCCATTCATTTCTTTCTTTTTCCTGTAACACATACATAATTCTTTTATTTCTTCCTTAAAACAGCATCCAATCTATCAGCAGATGTTTCCCCCGTAATAACAGACGCATAATGCCCCACTTGAGAGGCTGGGGACTGAGTGGAGCAGCTCTCATGATAGGCTTTTTATTTTATAGCAGACCTCTTTGTATTTTGTCTTTTAATTGCTTTTCCATTACTTGATTATAATATTAACAGTTAAAACAATAGTTTTGGAGTGATCATATAGTTGACATTTACAATTAACATTGTACAGCCAGGATTTCCCCATGTTATGGCAAAAACTTAGCTGATTTGTTAACATTCCTTTTAATATTTCAGCAAATTAAAAATATACAATTAAATCTTTCTCATATTTGGCACTGAGGTTATTTCCATAGTTTTCTTTTGTGTTAGTACTGCAATGAATATTTGTGCTTATATCTTTTTCTTCCTTTGATCTTTTTTCCAAGAGGAATTTCTAAAAGAATATAATATTTTGATGTATCTTGATAGCCTATTGTTTGATATTGATTGCTGTCAGGAATTGCATGCAATCACCCCAACCTTGTTATCAAGCTGATCATTTGAAATTTTGTTTTAAATAGCCTTTTATTGTTTATGTTTTAACCCATTATTATCATGGTTGAACATGTTTCAAATATATTTCTTCTAAACATCAAAACCATCTATGAACTGAAAAAAAAACAGGACAGCTTATCTCTCTTTCACAGTTGTTAAAAACATGTGAGAAGGAAGTTAGATTGAATTAGTTGCATAACCCAATATCTAAGGTTTCCTGAGTTGATATGGCCACAGTAATTTTTTTTGTTCCTAATGCCCAAATTTTCAAATTTCGTAATTAAAAGAGCCTACATGAACACACACACACACACACACACACACACACACACACACACACACACACACACATTTGCTTTATTAAAATAAATTTGTTAGAACAAAAGAGCCAGTATATATAACTTATTTTACATAAATAACATTATTTAAATGTATACTGTGTTCAGTGGTGCTTTTGCCTTAGTTTAATATGGTAAACACATGTCCTAAATATTCAGTATAAACTTGTTACATGGAAGATGATTCACCCCTTAATGAATTTATAAGTATCTGCTTAAATTACCTTTAGTAAATAAAATTACCAGCTTATCAGTCACTTTTCTAAAATGGCTGCTTGCTAAATTAATTTGCATTTATCAAATTGCATTTATGACTTTAAAATTTATAGTAATATGCATTGATTAGGAATCTCAGATTTCTGAAATGTATGCATTTATGATTTCATGGATCATTAGAGGAGACATATTTCAAAAAGTGTATATCTTCAATGATATGTCTTTTAAGTCACATCTACTTTATAATTGAATCCAAGAGGGTCCAGTTGAGGGCTGGCAAAAGGGGATTTTAGTTAACCAACATGGTTATCCTTTTTTAAAAGTTAATTATGTTTTTTCACTTCTCCCATTTTACAGCAAGTGTTGAGTTGGCCCCAAACTCAGTCTGTCTGGGTACACAACACTACCTCTGTTTAACGTCAGCATCCTTCTTTGCCTCCACCCACAGACTTTGCATTGCCTTAGACTTAGGAGTCTTGGCCTTGGAAGATGGGACAGTAAGTTCAGTCTTCATCCACTTACTTAGGATTTAGTAGGTCTTGATTCTGGCTTTCTTCTGATCCGAGAACCACACTACAGAGCTAAGTAATCAGGCTTCCTGCTTTATGAGCTAAGCATGTATATGTATATAATATGCATATATTATACACGTATGTATATATATTGTATATGTCTATATATACAGTTGAACAACACGAGTTTGAGCTATGCAGGCCCACATATATGTGGATTTTCTTCCACTTCTGCTACCCATGAGATAGCAAATCAAACCCTCCATTTCCTCCTCCTCTCAGCCTGTTCAACATGAAGTTGATGAGGATGAAGGCTTTTATGATGATCCACTTCCACTTAAATAGTAAATGTATTTTCTCTTCCCTATAATATTTAGTAACATCTTCTTTTCTCTAGCTTACTTTATTGTAAGAATACAGAATGTAATACACATAACATGTAAAATATGTGCTGATTAACTGTTTATGTTATTACTAAGGCTTCCAGTCAATAGTAGGTTATTAGTAGTTAAGTTTTCAAAAAGTCAAAAATTTTACATAAATTTACTGCTATGTAGGGGATAAGCACCACTAACCCCCGTGTTGTTCAAGGGTCGGCTAGACACACATGCACACATATATGCACAAATATATCTACATATAAGTTTTCATCTTATGTCTTTTGTATTCTGGGCTTGTTTTACAATTCTAAAGTGAATGGAGAGCCAACTATTTGTCATAGAAAGGGAAAAAGATGCAACTAAAATCAACAACGGCTTTAGCCCGAAAGAGAATAGCATTACTTATTCTTAGACTAGATATCTTTTTATTTAAATAAAATATGTTGATAGAGAACTTTTGGTGCAATGTTTGAATGCTCAGGAACTGGACTGGAGAGAAATAAGGAACCTAAGAGATAGCTGATGTCCTCTGCAGGAGGGATGAAGGCGGTAAGAAGAAGAAAAGGTGAGAATGAGATTGGCTTTCTGGGAGTCTGAGGAGACATGTTAGCCAGTGAGGAATTCCTGTTAGTGGTGGCGATTGAAAGAAATGAAAAAGAGAAGAAATGTCTAACATTTAATTTTAAATTGTTTCTTCGCGACATTACTATTTAATTTCCTGCATCTTTCCGAACCTTTGGTGATCAAAGGAAAGAGGCCATGTTCCCTGTCTGGGTAGACAAGGGCCAGTGAAAAGAGAAAAGGTGGGAAAGACATTCTACTTCTTGGAAGTAATGTCCTTGGTTTTATTGTTCAAAACAGCATCCTTGAATTCTCTTTGTTAGAAAGAGCTCCTCTGTCAGCTGAGAAGTCCTCCATTAGAGCCTCCACTGTTTCCAATCAGTCTTATCTGTTCCCAGAGTGGCTCTTCTGAGAACAGGAGAGTTTTCAGTTCTTCCTACCACACCAGCCAGTCTCCGCAGGCTGCAGGACCCTGGAACAACGTAGCAGGTGATATTGGGGTTCACATTGATTATGTCTGCCACAAAGGGCTACAGAATCTTCCAGAGGCTGCTTATTCTTGGGGCTGATCCTGGCCACCTCGAGTCTGCTGGTCACCAAGATCCTCAGCTTGGATAGACAAATCCCTGGACTCTGCTCTCCCTTGCCTGATATCTCTTCCTTATACTTTGCCTGGTTTCATCTCTAGGTTTTTGAGCTACCTCCATATTTGTCTCCAGAATAATAGGTGCCCATTCACGTTCCCATGATAAGTCTTTTGCCTTTGTCCACAGCTGGAGGGCATTCCCTACATTTCTAGTCTTACATTTTCCCAGAAGGACCAGCAGAGTCTCAATCCTAATCACTATTTAAAGTAGGGCCCAAACCAGACTAGACAACTCACCAAGCCCCAGCCCTCCCTCCTGAGCTGCTATAGGTTTAACTGGCTTTACTGCATCCCTGTTGACGGGTCCCCTAGCACCTTGCAAAGAATATGCACTCAGTATATATTTCTTAATAAATGGATGAATTCTTATTCTGTTGGGGGGACAGAAGAAGAGACACAGGAGAGACATTCTAGTAGAAAAGTAATATCATGGAGGCTAAATGTATTCATTTGTCTTTTTACCTAATAGGCAATAAAAGATTGCCCTATTACAAGAGAAGCTCAAGGCTGGATGAAATGCCAAATAGAACAGGCTTTTGTAAAAAGTTTCCAGATATCCTTAAGCTTGTGATAGTCACCCCTGGAACACCTTTCTTAAAGTTCAAAGATATCCATTATAGATGCAGGGGGAAAAGCACACAGAGAAAAACAAAAGCACAAGCAGTTATGTTAGGCAGGCCTTAGGCACACACAGAAAGTCATTAGTGAGGTGCCCAACTTTTATGCGGGTTTGTGTTTCTATGATCACACATGGAATTGTTTACTTGGCAGAGAGAGGAGGGACCTGGGATTTTGAAACAAGCAATCAGATGGAGAACCGAGGTTTGAGTTTGGTGCATTCTCTATAAATTATATAAATTATCTTAAGCAATCACCAGCCCCTTGAAATTTTATTTGCCTCCTCTGGATATTGGAAATAATAATTGTTGCCCTGCTTGCTTCTAGTCTTTTTTTTTGAGGATAAAGATGAGGAAAATAGTAACTAATTATTAATAAATATATTTTTAACAGAGCTGTTTTTAGCTAAAAATCAAGTGTGGTTTCTCCCCAAACCCAGGGAGTAGCTGAGATTCTCTGTGGGTGGAGAACCTGCAGGATGAGAATGTTAGGCCCTGTGCAGAAAATAGGATTGAAAGAACCACGGTCAATCTCATGTGTAGGAAAATTCTTGTAAAGATTCTTGCTCCTACTTGAATAGATCAATAAAGATGAGGCACTAAAGATAGGCAACCTCCATGCCATTTCACGTGTATGGATAACTCTGTGTCCTAACATTTCTGAACCTTAGTTACCTTATATGTAAAGTGAAAAAAAGGTACCAGTCCCTACGTCCATTTCCTTTTTGCCACCTCTTGTCGACGAGGCACTTTTCAGGATTTTCCAAGGAGATCATAGAAACTTTGTTTTGCTTTTCTGCAAAGATGTGTATATGAAGAGGTGTTTGCTGTCTGGTCTCACGAGAGACTCCATGCCTTTCTGACACTAGCATTCTTGGTCTGTTCGTCCAGTGCTTCCTCCTTGGTCCTCCATGGTTCTCCTGCGATGCAGGTAACTGACAGCTTGAGCTGGGAAAAAGCTTTTGTTCTGTGATCATCCTTAGTCTTACTCTGTCATTGAAAACACTAAAGTGTAGTTATAAGCGCAAGCATAGGTTTCCTCATCTTTATATATCTTTCCCAAGTTCTTGTTTTCTGCACCACTTCTACCCTGCCACCCCTGCTTTAGCCTCTGCCCAACTGACAGCTGTAAGCTGAAACATTTTCAACTGGAGAAGACAGTTGAAGGTGCTACCAAACCATGTGGAATTTGGTATGGACTGGAAATTGGTGTAAGAAAAATTCACATTTTTAGAAGCTTTACTATATTTGGCTTACCTGGGTTAAGCAGTTGTATATTTTCATGGGGAGAGGCCCAAGGTCTAGCGGCTTAATATGCAAATCACAAGGCGAGGGCTCTGGAGGAAATCCTAGCCTCTGAGGAGTGGCAGCTGTGTAAAAACTCAACATAGGAAGGACAAACTGTGTCCTCTCCTTCTCACCATTGCCCTCTGTCTTCCTTTTCTTCACCTCTCAGCCTATGTGAAAAAATCAGATCCAGCCAGGCCTGGTGGCTCACATCTGTAATCCCAGCACTTTGGGAGGCCAAAGCTGGTGGATCCCAAGGTCAGAAGTTCGAGACCAGCCTGGCCAATATGGTGAAACTCTGTCTCTATTAAAAATACAAAAAAAAAAAAAAATTATCCAGGCATGATGGCAGGTGCCTGTAGTCCCAGCTACTCAGGAGGCTGAGGCAGAAGAATCGCTTGAACATGGGGGGCTGAGCTGAGATCGCGCTGCTGAACTCCAGCCTGAGTGACAGAGTGACATTCAGTCTCAAAAAAAAAAAAAAAAATCAGATACATTTTCCTAAAGCAACTATCTTATCCCTAAGTTAATTTCAAACCTACCTATCATCTTCCAGACCATTGTTAACATTGTGAATTTGATACTGACTTGGTAAAATTGGTGATAAAGATTATTTCACATTTTCAGTTCAAATATAATAGTGTCAATGTCCAGTCAGTGTCAAGACAGTTTTCACCCAGATTCTGAAGGCTAAGAGAAACATTCACCTCCACTGGGAAATGTTCCTTCAGCCTTGTGGTGATTTCTAGATATCTTAGTGACTTTCAGAGTTCACACTTGAAGGACAAGTGAGGGCAACTTGGGTTTCTTTATTTCAAATTTAATGAATTTTGATCATTAATTAGATTCTACCTCTAAACTTCTGGCATATACTACACATACACATACTGATATTTACCTGTATGAATAGTTGCAATAAATATATTTCTTCTCAAAGTAACACAACTTTAACTAAAAAAATTCAACAAACAATTGAATTGGGGTTGATTATTCATATGCAAAATGCCTCTTTTGTTTTTGTTTTTTGGCTTTAGAGAGGAACAAAATCAAGGATCTTTCAGACTCCCACCATACATTAGAAGTAAGTCAGGTATAATATAATGATCTAATATTAGATAGCAATGGATTTTATATAAGAAGTGAAAAAAAGTTAGAGTTGAAACAATGTCATGTGAACGTGAGGGGGTTGGAAATATTTTTAAACGAATGTTTCTCATTGTTGCATGGGTAGTGAGAGTAACTGCCAAAATGTGGGCAAAACTGGAGAATGATGCAATGGGAGGAATGAAATCAAAACATAATTTCGACTCTATTGTTATCAGGATTTTTTTTTGAATTAATAATAAAATTGAGCAGGTGGAATGAGTCAGTTGATGACTCAGGAAGGCCCATAGGAAACTTAAAACTGTTAAGCAAGAACACTTCTTCCTCACCACGAATTTCAGTTTTCTTCAAATGGCCTTTCAACAGAAAATTTCATCTGTAAGCTCTCCATCCCCCACCCTCACAACCCACATTTGACTTTAAGCCTTTATGAAAATGATAGATTACCAGTACAGATTGTTCACATATTTTTTTTTGATTTCAGGAAAACAAATGAAACAAATGTTTTGAGGATGTCTCCAGAAGTGCCCTGTGGAAGGGTGTGGGAATGGAGAAGTTAGCAAGGAAACGGTCTCTGTTTTGTGCCTTGAAATAAGGAGAGAACTCTTAGTTCTGGCCTTGGCTCCCACCCATATCCTTGAAATGGCTTTCTAACTTGTCTCCCTGCTAGAATTTCTCTCCTGTGTTTCCATGACAGTGCTGGAGGAGTGATCTTTCTGAATCACAGTGGTGATCATGATGATTTTCTGATGAGAATTAGGCAGTGTCTCCCCCTGCGGCCACACCTCGTCCTTCCACAGGGAGCTGCTTCCAGGCTCTGTGAAGCCTCTGCAATCTGATGCACATTTGTCTCTCTGTTAAGGATGTCAGCTCCATATGGATGCTGACTTTGTTTTTCACTTTCTTCTGCTTTCAAATGTTGTCTCCTCCTAGAGACCTTCCCCATCTCATGTCTCACATGTTGTCCATTGTACCTTCTTCTCTGTTCTCAGGGGATTTGGTCTCTACCTCACTTA